TCTACAAACTGAGAGCTTTAATAGACTAAGGATCTCAACGATCCTTCATAGCGTTTAGGGGACAAAATAGGCTACAACTGCCGACAAAACAATCGTTAAAATTACGGGAATGGACGGGAGAGTAGTCCAAAACTCAAACAAAATCCGCCCCATTACCCTAATCTCTCCCAAAGCGGATAAGCGTATTCAAGCAGAAGCTGTTGTCTTACCGCAACTAACAAATATGCTTCCGAGCTATCACATAAATAGCAAGCATTGGCAAAAGGTTTCACACCTAAAGCTAGCAGATCTCAACTGCAAAAACCCCGCTCAAATAGATCTTCTATTAGGCAGCGATCTCACAGATAATAATCGAAGGTATTGAGAAAATTTCAAACACACATCTGGCATAAAATACTATTTTTGGTTGGATCCTAAGTGGACTAGTTACGGAACCAGTTACCACCATGACAACTCAAATGAATACCTCAATTCACAACTAAAGAAATTTTGGGAGTTAAAAGAACTCTCCCCCAGATCAGTTACAACCCACGAAGACAGTATTGTGAAGACTACAAAACCACAACTACTCGATCAGATAATTGCCGGTACGTCGTACGACTACCACGAAAGCAACAACTTTCCAACACTTCACATGTTGGCACAAAAAACAAAGTCAGAGTTTCCTCTGACAACCCCGATGTTCTAAACACCAATGTATGTAATCCAAACATATCACCCAAAGATATTAATAAATATTCCAAGAGATAATTTTTTGTACACTAATTTCCTTAAATTTGAAAAGGACAGTACAACAAAAACACTGTGGATCCAATGAAATGCGATATCTGGCTAGTTTTAATATCCAACTGAATTAATATCCGCGTTATCCCCAATAACAAAGAGGCAAATTTTATCCTCTGTGGCAAACCTTCGACGCCGCAAGATGGCTTTCGCCAGCAATGATAAAAATCGTGATTCAAAAAATATGGCTAGACGGAACCAACTAGGACGAACCAGCGAAACATCTTCCTTTAGAAAACTGATCTCAGTTCGCAAACAATTTAACTGCAATTTCGCTGATATAAATACCACGTTGGGCGAATTGTTCCCACAATACCAATTCAAACCACATTGTTCGGCGACGCCTTTGAAAATTCATATTGTGCACCAATACGACTTCAGCTATGTGGTATTGCCAAATCGCTACCCACTGCACTGCAATGCACTACACGCATTTCAACGTGGCAAAATTTATCTCGCTACTCCAATTTTGAAATTGCTCTAGCCTGAATAGAAAGACCACCGTGTACATCAAACATGTATAGGTATGTATGTTATTCAACCGCATGTACACTCGCCCATGCGCGACATAATAGTCCTAAAAAACCGACACAGTGCACAATATTGGATTATACTAACATCCGTGAAAGTTTATATCGTTCCCCTGAGCCCCTCAGAGTAGTTTAATGAATTTTCAAACTTATGGAACTACACAAAAAAAGGTAGGGGATCACCATACTCCCAATGTGATAAAGCGACGCACCTAGACTTACAAAAAGCAAAGGTCGCTCTTATTGCATCTATCTAAGCGCGCCTTTTATGGGTGGTTTATGGGAATCAGTTGTAAAAGCTTCAAATCTCTGGTCAAAAAAATAGTAGTTTACAAGTCTATGACGAATTTACTACATTACAAACTCGAAAGGAAGCCGTTCCCAATTCACGGCCAATAACTGTACTTTCGCAAGATAATCCGATTTCACAGCCCTAACCCCGGGGCATGTTCTCAAAGGAACACCCATTCTGGACACACCTGAATCAGGCGCGGAGTCGCTAACCTTAACAAGCCAATAATAACGAAATTATAAATAAACAATTCAAATAATAAACCGAAAACAAAGAAAAAATCCCTTTACTCGCGCCTAACTGACGCGCCTTATTACAACACACCACGCCTGAGAACACCACACTCAAATTTCACCACACAATACAACATAACACACCACAACACCAGCGCCTTTACATCACCAACTAACAAAACTGATGGTTCCCACAACTTCTTCACCTCATTCGACAAAATAGCGATACTGCGCGCAACTCTCTTCTTTTGTTTCGACCACCATCCGAGATAGCTCTGATCGACAGCCGAATAAGAATCCGGACAATGGCGGAATTGAATTGACACATCGCTTCGCTCACCAGCGGACCCGTTTATCTACAATTATTTTAATTTTAACATTAATATCTTGTTATGAAATTAAAGTCTCCTTTTAATTCGTATGCGAAATCAATCGCATTTCACTTACATATACGTATGTATAATATTTAAGGCGTGTCTTAGTGAACTATCAACAATTTAAATTCAGTAGTGGGTGTTTCAGTAAACACGCGCTCGAATTGGGCCATCAGAGGTCCCCTGGCAGGATCGCCTATTAATTTACCGCCGTTGACCAAAGAGTTTTATAAAAGATCAAAGCGAAACGCTTTGAATATGATTAGTAACTAACTAAGTAACTTTATTTAACTTCCTTTTTTACGTTATTCTCTTATTTACCTAGAGTGTCAATTACTTTTTTACCGTAGTGCCAGTTCACACACGGACTCTTTTGTCGTCCAAACCGGTTTTGTGTGGGCGAGGGATCGACGAGAAAAGGCGAAGTGACCGCGCCGCTCGTTCTCGGATGGCACGCTTTGTGTTCTTGTTCGTAACAGCTCGCTGCTACACATTTCAGCATTCCTTTTCATTTTAACATTCTTTTCATGGTTGCAACAGCGCTCGGTTTCAAATAAATATATACGATTCGTTCAGAAATTTGAATTTTGTTATCTAAATTTTGTATGTAATAAGTAAATATGCTTAGAGTAATAGAAATATTATGGAAAATGATGAATAAGATTAAAAATAAGAAACTTAAAAATATTTAATTTAAATATTTAATAACATGTAGCAGTTTTAAACATAATAACATAGTATATGAATGCATTTCAATAAAAAATGAAGTTAATTTTACATTCTTATATTTACCTTAATATATTGAGATGCGTTAATGAGATTAATTCGTGCGGTTTTTTTTACGAAAATTAAGACTTTATTGTGAAAAAATTGTTATACATTTAATGTTCAAAGTATTGCCCATCGGAAGCTATGATGTTTGCCCATCTTTCTGGCAGTTTGTGGATCCCATCCCAAAAGAACTTCTCCGGCTTGGAGGTCAAGAAAGAATCAATCCAATTTCTGATACCCTGTTCTGAAGAGAAGCGTACTCCGGTGAGGGCATTCTGCATTGATCTGAACAAGTGGTAATCGGAAGGTGCTATGTCTGGGCTATAAGGCGGGTGAGGTAGAACTTCCCACCCACAGTTTTCCAAATAGTTTTTAACTGGCCTTGCAACATGTGGCCGAGCGTTGTCATGATGAAAAATTATTGATTCGTGTCTGGTCGCATATTCTGGTCGTTTTTCCGCGATGGCCTTTTTCAAACGAATCAATTGTTTTCGGTAGAGGTCCCCATTGATCGTCTAACCCGATTTCAATAGCTCATAATAGAACACACCCTTGTGGTCCCACCAAATACATAGCATAACCTTAGCAGCATGGATATTCGGCTTTGCCGTGGATGGTGATGGTTGGCCGGGCTTCACATACGATTTCTTGCGCTTTGGGTTATCATAATGAATCCAGTTTTCATCGCCAGTGACAATCCGATGCAAAAACGACTTCTTTTGCTGGCGTTGAAGCAACATTTCCGACATGCAGAATCGACGTTCGACGTCTCTTGGCTTTAATTCATAAGGCACCCAATTTCCAAGCTTCTGGATGAATCCTAATGATTTTAATCGTCTGGAAATGGTTGCTTGATCAACTCCTAATACTTTTGCAAGTTCTTCTTGCGTCTGGCATGCATCTGCGTCGAGCAATGTCTCCAATTCTTCGTCTTGAAGTTTGTTTGGCTGTCTGGGTCGTTCTCCGTCGTCTAAGTCGAAATTGCCACTTTTAAACCGTGCAAACCACTTTTGGCACGTTCGTTCGGCTAAAGCATGGTCACCATAAGCGTCCAGTAAAATACGATGGCTTTCGGCAGCACTTTTCTTCATGTTAAAATAATGAAGAAGAACTCCCCGCAAAAACACTTTATCTGGTACAAATTTCGACATTTTCAAATGAATGAAACAAATTGTTGTTCACGCTCAAACAATTTATATCTACTGAAAACAACGCGAAATGGCAGTACCTTTGAAATGAATATAGCCACAGATGAATACGACGCGAAATAATACTAGTAGAGCCCTCTCTTAGAAAACCGCACGAATTAATGCATACACCATAATTCATTAATGTTTTGTAATAAATAGAAAAAATATGGGTTAAAAAAAATTACGGAAGTATATCTTGACTATAGATTAAGTAGTTTAGATAAATTCTCTTCATAAATTTGGCGTTGAAAATATTAATAGCGGGTATATAATACATTCAAATGAAATATGCAACATAAGCATTTGCGAAAATTTTGTGAAAAGGAATGACAGACTCGACTCGAGCTACTGGACTCTTTTCACTCGTGTGAACGCACAGAGCGTCATCAAAAGGGCCCCCTTATTCAACATATTTCAGAAAAACGTTAAGTGCTTTTTTTGGTTTATAATTATTAGACTTATGCCTTCTTATGAGGGCCATCATAAATTTTGTTTACTTTGGTAAGTGGTTTGTGATATTGGTGGTGTTAACTTGCACGCGTATTGCATATAAACGCATAAAAACGTTTGTTTATGTATGTATCTACGTTTTGCACTGTGTCGCCATTGTCTAAGATCAGCATATTCAAAGATATTTTCACAGGTTGCCGGTGAACCATAAATACGAAATGTGAAAAAAGAAAAGAAATACTCAAAACAAAACATACAATACAAACACGTTTTATTTTCTTTATTCACAACTATTCTTAAATACGAAAACACTTATTTATAATAAGTAAATTTGAATTGAAATTCGATTTTTTTTTCATTTTTAAATAATGCTTGATCGTACCTTCAACAACACAAATTCATTAATGATTTCGTCCAAGTTCAGTGAATCCAAAATTTCATTTTCAATTGACATCAAAGCAAGAGAATTTCGTCAGACAAACTGTTTCGTAAAGCATTTTTAATGAATTTTAGTTTTGAAAAAGATCGTTCATTGGGCACATTTGTAATAAAGAGCGATAGGAAAATCTGCAACAATATTTCAATATTTGGAAAAAGAGTTTTTAATCCATCTTCGATAATTCTAGAATAAATAGAAGGTAATGAAATGAACGTTGCGGAAACAGAAAATAAATACTTTTTAGCGATCTCGCATTCTGAAATCAATTCTTTTTCATCAACATCACCCCCCTAAAGTAATGCTATTTTGTGACATGCTACCGAGATTTCATCGAAATTCAGTCCATGCTGCCGTGAAAGAAAGCCAAATCTTCCTTCTACTTCTACGTAACAAGCCATTCGTGTTTCCAGATTAGTGTCTAATGATTCAATGAGAGGAGCGAAAATATTTTTACATAATTCATTCTCCCTATCGTCCATATTTTCGAGGGTGATTGCTGTTTGAATTTTAAATGTATGTTCTTCGTAATTTAATTCCATGTACGTTGATTTTGCATCTTGAAGAAAATCGTTAAATCGGTCTTCTAAATCCTGACAGTGTCCAACAAGGCTTTGATATATTTTTACAGCCACTGAAAGATTCAAATCCAAATTTTGCAAAGTTTTATTTGCACGTTCGAATTTGACAATAATCTCATTCCAAATTTTAAGCATTAAAATATTTTCGAATTTGCACAATTCTTTGAGATGTCCAGTTGCGAGAAGTTTGTTTTCAGGATTTGTTTGGAGGCTTTTGTCGTTAATCAATCGTAAAAAAACTGATTGCACTTGTTTTGTATTGCCATTGATAGCATTGACGGAATCAAATTTTTCAGACCATCTTGTGCCAGTTGCTCATTTCAGTACGACTTGACCTTGCATTGCTCAACAGTTTCCAGCGCGATGGTGAATTTACAAAAAAAGAATAAATGCTTTCCATAAAACAAAAATTATTTTTTGAAGCTGCTGCTGTTCCAACTAGATTCAATGAATGAGAAGAGCATGGCAAAAATATTGCGAATTTGTTTAGTTTTAGAATACGCTGTTGAAGTCCGGAATATTTTCCAGCCATGTTGTTTGTGTTATCATAGGACTGGCCACGGCAATCAGAGAAATTAATCGAATGTTTTGACATAAAATCGATAATAGTACTGGTAAGGTAAATAAATGATTAAATTGAATGAATCTCTCAATTGGCTTCTCGTTTTTCACATATTTGACACAAAATACCAATTGATCACAATGACTGACGTCAGGTGTTGAGTCGACGCTTTCGGGCAAAATCATATTCATTGCTTTTGCACCAATCAAATTAATAAATTCATCAGAAATTGTGTCAGACAGATATGATGCTCGACCTGAAGTTAATTTTAAATCGAATTAATTCACATATAAATCGCATACAAAAATACTTAAACAAATTATACTTCTTACTTGATTTCCATATTTCGCAATATGCATTGCAATTAATGGATCAAATTGACTTAGAAGATCAAGGATTCCTATAAAATTGCCTTTTGAAGTGAACCATATATGTGGTTTACACCGCGAAAAGGTAGCCCTCTCGATCCCAAAAATTTTATTACGGCAACAACTCGTCTTAAAGTGGATCTCCAGTATTTCTTTTCGATTTCTGTTTGAATTGTGATACTGGTATCGATCGTAAGTGCATGCGTTTCCTTTGCTCGTTGTTTGTACGCCAATTCATTGAGAACGTAATTTTTGGAATTTTCATGAGCTGTCAAATCCCGATTTATATTGTGAAATTTACTGAGCAAAGATATCACTTGACTTAGTTGATCTAAATAAGTGGCACACGAAACAAAACAGAGATTTTTGCGATGGTGAATATATCACCCAATCACGATCAACAGTTTCTCCATTTGCGAGTGTGTGTTTCAAGTGTTGTTTATTGAAACTGCGGCCTTCAATTGTGGCAATTGTATTTGCATTGCTCGGAGAATTGCGGCATAATGACAGTTCTAATTGAAATTATGTGAAATTGTGAATGTTGTGAACATTTCTTTTCAATTTCAAAAAATAACCTCATTCAACATTGCCTTTATTGATCCAATAGATTTGTAACGATGTTATGTTGTCTGCAATATTCCATAAGGCTGCATCAGTTGAAAATTCGAGTTCTTCCCATTTCAATTATTCTGCTTCAATATCCATAGATTCAGCAACGTTTTCATAATGTAATTCAAACGGTGATTCAATTTCGTCATTTATACTTTTGGTTATACTAGAAGTTGGCGTTGATCCAAATGCGGCGATTCATTAATTTTTGGTACTTTTTTTTATAACTTTTTCTTGATCTCCCATTTTTTTATTCGCCAATTTTCGTTTTCGGCTCCACTTATATATTTACGACTCATTTTCGAACTATCTTTATATTTTCAACGTGTAAACACGATTGGGAAATAAATGTTAAAATCATGATTGAATGAAATGTAAAATATACACAGTCGTATAAATTTTATAAAACATAAGCGGTCTTTTGTTCTCCATGTTTATTAGTGCTGGTGCAGTACATTAGTCTAGATGCTTATATTCAGCAATAGCGAATCAGTATTATCGATAATAATTTGCTGAAGCGTAAATCATAATGTAATTAATTTTGAATTTCACGTGAAAGTTAAGAACAGTTAAAATTATTTTTGCCTCAGGCCCCGAAAAGTATTACTTCGGTTTTAATCTAAATGTGGGCGGTGCCCACGTCCAAATTTGACACCGGTTCCTACAAAGCCCTTCCGTACCATCTCGGGTGTAAAATTGTATGTCTGGTGCATTTAGTTATTGATTTATCGCACTTTTAGTAGTTTTTAACGAACCCGTTATATGGGAAGTGTGCAGGGTTATTACCCGAATTTAACCATTTTCACAGGCTCTGAGCGAATTTGGTTATTATAGCTTGAATAGTTTAGGATATATATAATATATACTTTAAACTTTAAAGAGGGCGTGGCCTAGTTTTAGGTGAACAAAATTGTTATAATCTGTAGCAACAAACAAAACAACTAAAATCAATTCATCTGAATTCACCTGGCAATCGACTTCCCAAATCAAAAAATGCGTCCATTATTTCCATTAAATGGAATTTAAAACAAGACAACTTTTTTAACAAAATACGACATTGCAATATTTTCGTGTAATTAATATTAAACGATGTAAAATTTTAAGGCAGCAGCTGTTTTAGACACTTCCAACGGCACTGAGGACAGAGATTAGTAAATAGATTAAATGTAATCTAATCACTTCAAAATTTTGGTCGAAACATGGTATTACATATAATCGATATATCTAAATGGTATAAATTCAGTGGAAAGCATTTTTGACACAAGATGTTCTCTGAATTTCATCAAAATTTCTCATAAATGAACATGTATATTGATCGATATTTGTGTTAAAAAGTCAACCATATGCACTGAGGTAGATATACATACATATGTGGTATATGGAAACCAAATGTGGTTGTGCGCACAGTGCAGAGTTATAAACTATCGCGCTTCGTTTTGTAGCATACGCGCGTTCCTTATGAATGAATTTGTTGTCGTTGCTATACGAAAACTTTAGATAATATGGAGCGTGCTTGCGCGAATCTTATTGATCCCTTCAGAAAGGAGAATTGACAACATGGCCTATTAGCGACTTAAAATATTATTTTAATATATCTCATATTATGCACTATAATATGGCATTAAACTATACAATCTCTGTACATCTACCACTCATATGAAACCTTCAACTACTTCTACATATATATTAAGCACACCCCATATGGTACTTTTATATGTTTACTGATTCTCATTATTTCACAGATTTTCGATTAAGCCCATTTTATCTAAGTTTGACGCTATGAAAATGCAGCCCAATCGGTAATCGTAGTATTTCAATAGAGCATAAGTCAATTTTCAATAGCAAAGCTCTGCAAAAGGGACAAACGTGACAACATAATCCACGGACATTGTCGATTCAAACAAATTTTGTCAACACCGCGACGATGCGCAAAATTCGGCTTCAATATGCATGCGAGCTCGTATGTATGTATGTTTGTCGGCAAAGTTGTCATTTGGTTATTTTCAACGTTTTGTCAGAACTCAATTTTTTTCTATATTTAATTTTTTGTTATTTAAATGTTTTTAAAATAAATTCGATTAATAAAAATATATCTGAAATAATTATGTGGCCGTGCACCCCCTGACTCCTCCTTGCCTGCGATCGTTCAACTTGCTTCTCGCAAAAAGTGAAGTTTTGTTTGTGCGGGGCAAGGAAAAGCAAGCATCAGCGTACGTGTACTTATGAATGTATGTATGTGTGACTTTCATATTTGTTTAAATACGCATCAATAACGGACTATTCAAACTAACCTAAACATAATAATAACCCAACGGTTACCCTCCTCCCGCCCAACCGACGCGAGGGGCGCAATCCGCATACGTGCGGAATTAGCCGAGTCAGAAAAGGCAAGAGAGTTTTTTAAGTGTTGAGATCTAAAACTGCTCAGCTACAGAAACAAAAATTTCAACAGCTAAGATTTATAGTTACAATATAATAAATTGTTACATTTTCATTTATTAAGAGAAAACAATAAGACTTTTAAATTTTGAAAAGTGAGTCAGATAAGTCAAATGTACTGGAATGAGAATTAAAATCATGACATACACGACGGAATGGCTCGTTTAGTTCAAAATTTGATTTACAGGATTTTAGCAGTAAAGGTCTAAACTGCCTCGAAAAGCGAACCGGGATATTAAATTTAATTTCAGACAGGAGAAAAGAACTGCAAACTGTTCCATTCACAATTTTTCACTAAGAATATTATGCCAAGCATTTCCCTACGACTAGAAAGTGTAGGTAGAGTAATAAGTTTTAAACGACTAGTGTATGGAGGTAGACTTACCCTAAAATCCCATCGGAAATGCGCTAAGCCGAAAAGTAAAAATTGTTTTTGAACAGATTCTAACTTGTCAGAATGGATTTGGTAGTTAGGGTTCCATACAACAGAGAAATATTCCAATATATGTCTAAACAAAGTTGTATAAAGTGTTTTAGTAATATACGGATCTCTAAATTCTTTAGACCAACGTTTAACAAAACTGAGGACAGCTTTTGCTTTCAAGACCATGGTATCAATATGAAGACTAAAATTAAGCTTAGCGTCCATATTAACTCCCAAATCAACATAGTTAAAAACTTGCTCTAGAATATGGTGTTTTATTACATAAGAAGTGTGTGCACCACAGATTTACGAGAAAAGCACATCATCTTACATATATTGAGATTCAATGGCAAATCATTTTTATCACACCATGCAACCAAATTGTTTAAGTCTGTTTGCAACAGACACCTTTCCTCAGTTGAAGTGTATGATTTAAAAAGCTTTACGTCGTCAGCGTATAATAAAATTTTTGAGAATTCTATTACTGAAGAGATATCGTTAATAAACAACAAGAACAGAATCGGGCCAAGATGACTACCTTGCGGAACACCTAAAGAAACATTAATTGTATCTGAAGGTGTATCCTCAAATATCACTCGTTGTGTTCTATTATAAAGATAGGAAGATACCCATTGAAGGAATCTTGGCTGAAAGCCCAGCAGAACAAGTTTATGTATGAGAATCGAAAGATTTACTTTATTGAAAGCTTTGCTAAAGTCTGTGTATATAACATCCGTATGCTTATGTTCCCTAAACATACATAATTCCTTGAAATATTATAATTATTTCAGTGAGTAAAATATGCTACTTAAGTAACTGAACTGAGATCAGCTAAAATGTCAAATAATATAATAACAGAAAAACAAGTAAGCGTTCGACTTCGGAATTAATTAACTTCTTCACGCTTACCACCTGAGAATTTGACTTATTTTGTTCAATTGCTTTATGGAAAGGTGTATGAAATACACTCCCGCAAATAAATGTACATATGTATATCGGCAAATGTGCTAGTTATTTTAATGAAATTGAGAAAACGTGTTTCTAATAACAGTGTATCTTTTGCTAAAATGGAACGGGCGAAAACTTGGCTTAGTCCCCATATAACTGATACTACGATTTTGAAACGTCCGGCTGACTTTACTCCTTATATACATATGTTTATATTTATATATGTATTTATAAAAGTGCTTGAAACTAAATTCTGAAGTATACCTGAGCAAGGTCAAAACTTAATGCAATCAGCGCTTCCATTTCTATGCCTCCAATAATTTTAATATCATTTTCCCTGACGGGAAGTAAAATATAGCAATAAAACTAAGTGAGTCTAACATATGACCTTCAAAATAAGTTAATATGATACCAAATTTGGTTGTAATCCATTCACCATTTCTTCGAACTATGAATTTGTACCTTTTCTATTTGCTACATGTCATTGTCATCATTGTACACGATTTGGAATTTTGGGTAGTGACGACTTTATCGGCTGGGTATCGGTTACCATATAGTCTCAATACTACTTGCAATTACGCCATCTATGTGTGAAATATCGCACTGCATTATCAACAATTGGTGAAATTAACATAAATATTTCCAAATTATTGTGGAGATAGTTGTTGTGTTTCTTAATTCATTACAAGCAATCTAACTTTTTTTTACATTCTATTCTGTATCCGGACTTAATAACTAAGCACATCCTTAGTAATAATTCAAATGGCTAACAAGACGGACAAAAATTATAAATCCTATAAGTTATGGGTTACCAGCAACCCGACGTTACACGATCAAGAAATTGCTTCCAATTTGCAATAAACTAACACTTTTCGAACCTAACATCGTCTTGATATTAATTTTTCCACTCAAGTCGTGGGGCAAGTTGATCAAGTTGATCACATAGTTTTGCAAACAAATATTTCGTTATCGTTGATATCAAAATATAAGTACATCAATCAGTTTCTGCACTAATTAAAATGTCTGTGTCTCTCGAATAGCTTATAGTGCAGAACAAGTAATTTTGAAAAAAGTAAAAAATCTGTGTTTGTACATACTCTAAAGTTACTTTCGTACAACGATATGGCCTTCCTCAACTCATCTCTTTCTTACCA